TTAGTGTTGTTTCTTCTCTGTCTTTTTAGGTAGTAATACTGCCTGAATGTTGGGAAGAACACCGCCTTGAGCGATGGTGACACCGGCAAGGAGTTTGTTTAATTCTTCGTCATTTCGCACAGCCAACTGGAGGTGACGAGGAATGATTCTTGACTTCTTGTTGTCGCGTGCTGCGTTTCCTGCTAACTCGAGGATCTCAGCACTCAGATACTCAAGTACGGCAGCCAAGTACACGGGAGCACCGGCTCCGACGCGTTCAGCGTAGTTGCCTTTACGAAGAAGGCGATGGATGCGACCAACAGGAAACTGTAGACCTGCCCTGGAAGAACGAGTCTTTGACTTGGTGCCCTGGGCTTTACCTTTTCCTCGTCCGGTCATTTTGTCGAGTAACTCGTATCTTAAGTTTCAGTTTAAGTTTCAGGAGACTGTTTTCCAAGACATGACTTCGGCCGCCATAATTTATCACGCGCGGACTGCGTTTCGTGGATCAGATTGCACCAATCAAAAGTCTTACATTGGCTCATAAAAGAAATTCTAGCCTTGCAATTGTTCTCTTTGTGTCGATTGGCGGCACGCTCCATTGTTTACACCGAGAAAAAAAAGACACCAATCACCGACGAGAACTTGCGATCCGCATATTAATTGATCCTATTGAATTTGGCAACATAAATAGAAACTGTGATATCCCGAATTACCAAACTCTATTTCGAAAAGGCAGAGATATCTTTCTTTACCATGGCACCTAAACCGATTGCAGCTAAAAAGGGAGAGAAGAAGAGCGGCGGTAAGGCAAAATCCACGTCGGGCGACAGTACGAAAAAACGGCGATCGAAACGGAAGGAGAGTTATGCGATCTACATCTACAAAGTGTTGAAGCAGGTACATCCTGACACCGGAATCTCCAGCAAAGCAATGGGTATCATGAACTCTTTCGTGAACGATATCTTTGAGCGCATTGCTACAGAATCCTCCCGTCTAGCCCACTACAACAAGAAGTCCACTATCAGCTCCCGCGAGATTCAGACAGCCATCAGACTGCTCCTTCCAGGAGAACTCGCAAAGCACGCAGTCAGTGAGGGTACCAAGGCCGTCACGAAGTACACTAGTAGCAAGTGAAGTCCATTCTTCAATACCAGATCTAAACAACGGCTCTTTTAGGAGCCACCAAATGTCAAAAAAAAGCAATGATCAACACAGTTTCTTAGAGTTTTCAATCGTCATTATAAACCCTGAAACTCTTCGCACACTTGCTCCCATTAAAAAATGTCAAGGAACGAACAAATCATTCCTCTATTTACCCGTTCAACTTTACTTTTTATATAAAAAACACACAGATAAAGGTTTTAAAAGATGATTTTTATGTAAGCAAAGAGAAAAGAAGAAGAAAAAAAGAAACAAATAAACGATTGCTGGTTGACAACACGCAACGAACCCAACAGTTTCCGCACGATCTCCTTCCCAGCGCGATGACCACTACACCACGCCAGAGAATCAACTGAAGTAGTTCGTAAAACAACGTTACTTAAAAGTGTTACAGGCATGAACAGGTCATTTCGGTACTGCACTTGAGAACAAGAAAACGGTTTACCAGGCTGCAAATATATATTTTCCGGGATGTAAGGGTTTTAATACTTCAAATCAGTTAAGCGGGAGGGATTCTTACTATTGAATATTGACGTTTACGGTAGTTTTCATTACCCGGGTACCTGATAACCAGTTTCTTGACCAAGGTGCATGTACTGACCACTTCGAATAAAAAGTATTTATCTTATCTGATCTGATCTGATCTGATCTTATGGAGTGGCTTTTGTTTACTCTTTTAAGGCGTCTCTAAGCCGCGGTTCAAGTAACCTTCTGCTTAACAAAAACGAGATCAGTTTCGGCAAAGGAGAAATAAATACTGTGCTATAGGTGAAGGTGACCTAAGGTCAACATACTAGAGGTGATATTGGTGATGACTTTTCTTTATTTGGTGGCTCCTAAAGGAGCCGGTAGTTGAATAAGTGGGCGAGTTTTACTTGCCACTGACTTTCTTGTTGGCTGATTTTTTAACCGAGGCTTTGCTTTCTTTCGCTTTCTTAGGCAACGGCTTCTTTGTGGCAGTCTTCTTTGGCACGAGAGGTGTCTTCTTCTTGCTGCTGGAAACTTTCTTACCCGGCGATTTCTTGGTTTTCTCGGCTGGTTTGCGGGCGGTCTTTTCTTTCGCGGCGACCTTCTTTATTTTTGGTTTGTTGGCTGGATCGGCGGTTTTGGTCTTCTTCGCCAGGTCTTACTACTGATCGCGATAGATCTGTTACCTCTAAGATGTTTGCTAAGTTCTTTGAAAATGAGATGGATTGTAAACGTCAACATAGGAAGACAGGCAGAGAGATAGACTGAACGAATAAGGAGTTGTTGGGCGCAATCACTACTTTTTTGGTAAGCTTAGGGATACTAGTACTCTACTGTGTCCTTATCGCGAAAAAACTTGTAACGGCGTGGAGTATGAGAATTATTTCTGTCTCATTTCACTAGTAACTGAGCCGTTTGTAATGTGAGATTGTCAGAACCGAGCTGAGCTGTTATGCACGTTCGCCCCGGATCCTACGAGCCAACTGGATATCTTTAGGCATGATGGTGACACGTTTAGCGTGAATGGCGCAAAGGTTGGTGTCCTCGAAAAGACCGACCAGGTAGGCTTCGCTAGCCTCTTGAAGAGCCAGCACGGCTGAGCTTTGAAAGCGCAAGTCGGTCTTGAAATCCTGAGCGATTTCTCGAACAAGACGCTGAAACGGTAACTTGCGAATCAGCAACTCGGTGGACTTCTGATAACGACGGATCTCTCTGAGGGCCACTGTTCCTGGCCTGTAACGGTGCGGTTTTTTCACGCCACCAGTAGCAGGAGCGCTCTTTCGAGCTGCCTTAGTAGCCAGCTGTTTACGAGGCGCTTTTCCTCCGGTGGACTTTCTCGCTGTTTGCTTGGTTCGGGCCATGACTGTGAAACTGATGTTCAGAAGATTAAAGGCTCTATGTGAAAGCTGGGCAATTTTATGGCCGCGATTTATCAGGAGGCTGTCGCAAGCCGATTGGATATTTAAGGATTTATGCATTTCTGATTGGTTCGGCTTCGGAGACACCCTGCTTTGATTTGCATGCCTTACAATAGACAGTGGGGCGAAAGAAAATTATAATATTCTTTTGTTGTCCTTTTACTAAGAACAAATCTATGTAAATACAAGAAATAATGTTTCCCGAGAGGTCAGATTGAAGGGTATAGATTGAAAAGTAATTTCTGTTCTGCAGTAATTTAACATAGAGCGAGACCTTTCCTTTTTAAACCTTGACGATAATTCAGACAACCGAGAATGTCCGGTCGCGGCAAAGGAGGTAAAGGCTTGGGCAAAGGTGGTGCTAAGCGTCATCGTAAGATTCTACGCGATAATATCCAAGGAATTACCCAGCCAGCGATCCGTCGTCTCGCTCGCCGTGGGGTGTAAAGCGAATTTCTGGACTGATCTACGAGGAGACACGCGGTGTTCTGAAAGTTTTCCTTGAGAACGTTATCCGCGATGCCGTGACCTACACCGAGCACGCCAAGCGTAAGACCGTTACAGCCATGGACGTAGTATACGCTCTGAAACGACAAGGACGTACTCTGTACGGTTTTGGGGGTTAGAATACACTGTAATCCCTGATCAACACTTAAACCAACGGCTCTTTTAGGAGCCAACAAATGTATGAAAAGCTCTGACCAATACGTGATAAGAGAATTTGTTTTCATTACGATCATTGCTGAAGGTTTATATACATATCAACAAGTCAACATACACCTGAAATCGATTCAGCGCTTTATTTACTGGGTGCGTCCACGCCAGTTTTTTCTTTTTTAGTGACTTTACAGCAGCGCAGTCGTTACTTATACAGGGAAATTATTTTTTTCCCGTCTAGATTAGCCTCATAGCTCTTTGCGGGGCATACAATACTGTAAAGCTTTTGTCTTTAATTAGTTAGTGAATAAACTGTTGTTGTACGTTGTTGTTGTGGCAGAATTAAGAGAGCAAGCTGGTTTGTGTCGTTACCGACGACGGTTTATAACTGTGTTAGTTTATTTTACGTAAACAGCTTGTGTACCGAAGGAAATCACGACGATCTCTTGTAATTTTAGGCAAAGAAAACAACATTTCAAGCTCAGTAGTAGCAGCAATGTTTGTTCCCGGTTGGTAGGAATGCGATTAATTGTGTACTCGTTTAAAAAGAGCAGAAAGTTGTTCGATTGTCGCTTGGTATGTACCTCGAAGTTCGTATAAAAACCTGTTGGAAACAGCGCGAATGAAACCTGCATAGAAAGCAAACGCAATTTCAACTTTCATGATATAATCACATCAGTCTTTAAATTCATGTTACACCGAGCTAAACTGACCTAAGACTGGTTTCAGTTTTCAAGCAATGCTGTGGTTGCTGTTGTTTGTTTCTTACATGCGATAGCCGAAATAGCGCTAAATATGCTTTGGTATACGCATTTATGAACAAAACTAGCAACATGGAACCATGCAAAAACAAATAGAAATAGCGAGTTTCCGCGAGACATAATTATTTGTGGCTAAGTATCGATCGAGTTATTAACCCCAAACTTAGACGGCGAATACTATTTGGGGGGTAGATTACAAATTTATATCGTGATTGGTCATGACTTTATTCTAGACTTGGTGGCTCCTAAAAGAGCCGTTTGTATTTATGGTTGTTGCCGTCGCTTAGTGTTGTTTCTTCTCTGTCTTTTTAGGTAGTAATACTGCCTGAATGTTGGGAAGAACACCGCCTTGAGCGATGGTGACACCGGCAAGGAGTTTGTTTAATTCTTCGTCATTTCGCACAGCCAACTGGAGGTGACGAGGAATGATTCTTGACTTCTTGTTGTCGCGTGCTGCGTTTCCTGCTAACTCGAGGATCTCAGCACTCAGATACTCAAGTACGGCAGCCAAGTACACGGGAGCACCGGCTCCGACGCGTTCAGCGTAGTTGCCTTTACGAAGAAGGCGATGGATGCGACCAACAGGAAACTGTAGACCTGCCCTGGAAGAACGAGTCTTTGACTTGGTGCCCTGGGCTTTACCTTTTCCTCGTCCGGTCATTTTGTCGAGTAACTCGTATCTTAAGTTTCAGTTTAAGTTTCAGGAGACTGTTTTCCAAGACATGACTTCGGCCGCCATAATTTATCACGCGCGGACTGCGTTTCGTGGATCAGATTGCACCAATCAAAAGTCTTACATTGGCTCATAAAAGAAATTCTAGCCTTGCAATTGTTCTCTTTGTGTCGATTGGCGGCACGCTCCATTGTTTACACCGAGAAAAAAAAAAAGACACCAATCACCGACGAGAACTTGCGATCCGCATATTAATTGATCCTATTGAATTTGGCAACATAAATAGAAACTGTGATATCCCGAATTACCAAACTCTATTTCGAAAAGGCAGAGATATCTTTCTTTACCATGGCACCTAAACCGATTGCAGCTAAAAAAGGGAGAGAAGAAGAGCGGCGGTAAGGCAAAATCCACGTCGGGCGACAGTACGAAAAAACGGCGATCGAAACGGAAGGAGAGTTATGCGATCTACATCTACAAAGTGTTGAAGCAGGTACATCCTGACACCGGAATCTCCAGCAAAGCAATGGGTATCATGAACTCTTTCGTGAACGATATCTTTGAGCGCATTGCTACAGAATCCTCCCGTCTAGCCCACTACAACAAGAAGTCCACTATCAGCTCCCGCGAGATTCAGACAGCCATCAGACTGCTCCTTCCAGGAGAACTCGCAAAGCACGCAGTCAGTGAGGGTACCAAGGCCGTCACGAAGTACACTAGTAGCAAGTGAAGTCCATTCTTCAATACCAGATCTAAACAACGGCTCTTTTAGGAGCCACCAAATGTCAAAAAAAGCAATGATCAACACAGTTTCTTAGAGTTTTCAATCGTCATTATAAACCCTGAAACTCTTCGCACACTTGCTCCCATTAAAAAAATGTCAAGGAACGAACAAATCATTCCTCTATTTACCCGTTCAACTTTACTTTTTACATAAAAAACACACAGATAAAGGTTTTAAAAGATGATTTTTATGTAAGCAAAGAGAAAAGAAGAAAAAAAAAAGAAACAAATAAACGATTGCTGGTTGACAACACGCACCGAACCCAACAGTTTCCGCACGATCTCCTTCCCAGCGCGATGACCACTACACCACGCCAGAGAATCAACTGAAGTAGTTCGTAAAACAACGTTACTTAAAAGTGTTACAGGCATGAACAGGTCATTTCGGTACTGCACTTGAGAACAAGAAAACGGTTTACCAGGCTGCAAATATATATTTTCCGGGATGTAAGGGTTTTAATACTTCAAATCAGTTAAGCGGGAGGGATTCTTACTATTGAATATTGACGTTTACGGTAGTTTTCATTACCCGGGTACCTGATAACCAGTTTCTTGACCAAGGTGCATGTACTGACCACTTCGAATAAAAAGTATTTATCTTATCTGATCTGATCTGATCTGATCTTATGGAGTGGCTTTTGTTTACTCTTTTAAGGCGTCTCTAAGCCGCGGTTCAAGTAACCTTCTGCTTAACAAAAACGAAATCAGTTTCGGCAAAGGAGAAATAAATACTGTGCTATAGGTGAAGGTGACCTAAGGTCAACATACTAGAGGTGATATTGGTGATGACTTTTCTTTATTTGGTGGCTCCTAAAGGAGCCGGTAGTTGAATAAGTGGGCGAGTTTTACTTGCCACTGACTTTCTTGTTGGCTGATTTTTTAACCGAGGCTTTGCTTTCTTTCGCTTTCTTAGGCAACGGCTTCTTTGTGGCAGTCTTCTTTGGCACGAGAGGTGTCTTCTTCTTGCTGCTGGAAACTTTCTTACCCGGCGATTTCTTGGTTTTCTCGGCTGGTTTGCGGGCGGTCTTTTCTTTCGCGGCGACCTTCTTTATTTTTGGTTTGTTGGCTGGATCGGCGGTTTTGGTCTTCTTCGCCAGGTCTTTGGCTGCCTTTGCTTTCTTTACTTCTTTGTTGACCTTGAAAGAACCTGAAGCTCCGGACCCTTTGGTGTTGATAAATTGACCATTCTCCACGCCTCTCTTAAGAGCCATTTTAATAAAATGACTTGCTTTGTCTCCCACTTTGAAATGGTTCTTAACGTACTTGTCGACAGCCTGACGTGAAGAACCATTACGATCTTTCAGGGCGTGAAGGGCTTGTATGATCATTTCTGCATACTTAGGGTGTTCGGCCGGCTGTTTAGAAGCTTTCTTCTGGGTGCTTTTGACAGACATGTCTCGTTATAGTCTCCACAGCGATAGCTAATGTTGGTTACTTGCGCAACTCTTTTCTTAAGTTGTTATAGCGGACCGCAGAGGGATCAGTTACTACTGATCGCGATAGATCTGTTACCTCTAAGATGTTTGCTAAGTTCTTTGAAAATGAGATGGATTGTAAACGTCAACATAGGAAGACAGGCAGAGAGATAGACTGAACGAATAAGGAGTTGTTGGGCGCAATCACTAATTTTTTGGTAAGCTTAGGGATACTAGTACTCTACTGTGTCCTTATCGCGAAAAACTTGTAACGGCGTGGAGTATGAGAATTATTTCTGTCTCATTTCACTAGTAACTAATAAAGAAATAAGTAGAGACAAGGTAAGAAGTAGTTTATTGGCCATTAACTTTTATTGTCAGGTGGTGGCTCCTAAAGGAGCCGTTTGTAATGTGAGATTGTCAGAACCGAGCTGAGCTGTTATGCACGTTCGCCCCGGATCCTACGAGCCAACTGGATATCTTTAGGCATGATGGTGACACGTTTAGCGTGAATGGCGCAAAGGTTGGTGTCCTCGAAAAGACCGACCAGGTAGGCTTCGCTAGCCTCTTGAAGAGCCAGCACGGCTGAGCTTTGAAAGCGCAAGTCGGTCTTGAAATCCTGAGCGATTTCTCGAACAAGACGCTGAAACGGTAACTTGCGAATCAGCAACTCGGTGGACTTCTGATAACGACGGATCTCTCTGAGGGCCACTGTTCCTGGCCTGTAACGGTGCGGTTTTTTCACGCCACCAGTAGCAGGAGCGCTCTTTCGAGCTGCCTTAGTAGCCAGCTGTTTACGAGGCGCTTTTCCTCCGGTGGACTTTCTCGCTGTTTGCTTGGTTCGGGCCATGACTGTGAAACTGATGTTCAGAAGATTAAAGGCTCTATGTGAAAGCTGGGCAATTTTTATGGCCGCGATTTATCAGGAGGCTGTCGCAAGCCGATTGGATATTTAAGGATTTATGCATTTCTGATTGGTTCGGCTTCGGAGACACCCTGCTTTGATTTGCATGCCTTACAATAGACAGTGGGGCGAAAGAAAATTATAATATTCTTTTGTTGTCCTTTTACTAAGAACAAATCTATGTAAATACAAGAAATAATGTTTCCCGAGAGGTCAGATTGAAGGGTATAGATTGAAAAGTAATTTCTGTTCTGCAGTAATTTAACATAGAGCGAGACCTTTCCCTTTTTAAACCTTGACGATAATTCAGACAACCGAGAATGTCCGGTCGCGGCAAAGGAGGTAAAGGCTTGGGCAAAGGTGGTGCTAAGCGTCATCGTAAGATTCTACGCGATAATATCCAAGGAATTACCAAGCCAGCGATCCGTCGTCTCGCTCGCCGTGGGGGTGTAAAGCGAATTTCTGGACTGATCTACGAGGAGACACGCGGTGTTCTGAAAGTTTTCCTTGAGAACGTTATCCGCGATGCCGTGACCTACACCGAGCACGCCAAGCGTAAGACCGTTACAGCCATGGACGTAGTATACGCTCTGAAACGACAAGGACGTACTCTGTACGGTTTTGGGGGTTAGAATACACTGTAATCCCTGATCAACACTTAAACCAACGGCTCTTTTAGGAGCCAACAAATGTATGAAAAGCTCTGACCAATACGTGATAAGAGAATTTGTTTTCATTACGATCATTGCTGAAGGTTTATATACATATCAACAAGTCAACATACACCTGAAATCGATTCAGCGCTTTATTTACTGGGTGCGTCCACGCCAGTTTTTTCTTTTTTAGTGACTTTACAGCAGCGCAGTCGTTACTTATACAGGGAAATTATTTTTTTCCCGTCTAGATTAGCCTCATAGCTCTTTGCGGGGCATACAATACTGTAAAGCTTTTTTGTCTTTAATTAGTTAGTGAATAAACTGTTGTTGTACGTTGTTGTTGTGGCAGAATTAAGAGAGCAAGCTGGTTTGTGTCGTTACCGACGACGGTTTATAACTGTGTTAGTTTATTTTACGTAAACAGCTTGTGTACCGAAGGAAATCACGACGATCTCTTGTAATTTTTAGGCAAAAAGAAAACAACATTTCAAGCTCAGTAGTAGCAGCAATGTTTGTTCCCGGTTGGTAGGAATGCGATTAATTGTGTACTCGTTTAAAAAAGCAGAAAGTTGTTCGATTGTCGCTTGGTATGTACCTCGAAGTTCGTATAAAAACCTGTTGGAAACAGCGCGAATGAAACCTGCATAGAAAGCAAACGCAATTTCAACTTTCATGATATAATCACATCAGTCTTTAAATTCATGTTACACCGAGCTAAACTGACCTAAGACTGGTTTCAGTTTTTTCAAGCAATGCTGTGGTTGTTGTTGTTTGTTTCTTACATGCGATAGCCGAAATAGCGCTAAATATGCTTTGGTATACGCATTTATGAACAAAACTAGCAACATGGAACCATGCAAAAACAAATAGAAATAGCGAGTTTCCGCGAGACATAATTATTTGTGGCTAAGTATCGATCGAGTTATTAACCCCAAACTTAGACGGCGAATACTATTTGGGGGGTAGATTACAAATTTATATCGTGATTGGTCATGACTTTATTCTAGACTTGGTGGCTCCTAAAAGAGCCGTTTGTATTTATGGTTGTTGCCGTCGCTTAGTGTTGTTTCTTCTCTGTCTTTTTAGGTAGTAATACTGCCTGAATGTTGGGAAGAACACCGCCTTGAGCGATGGTGACACCGGCAAGGAGTTTGTTTAATTCTTCGTCATTTCGCACAGCCAACTGGAGGTGACGAGGAATGATTCTTGACTTCTTGTTGTCGCGTGCTGCGTTTCCTGCTAACTCGAGGATCTCAGCACTCAGATACTCAAGTACGGCAGCCAAGTACACGGGAGCACCGGCTCCGACGCGTTCAGCGTAGTTGCCTTTACGAAGAAGGCGATGGATGCGACCAACAGGAAACTGTAGACCTGCCCTGGAAGAACGAGTCTTTGACTTGGTGCCCTGGGCTTTACCTTTTCCTCGTCCGGTCATTTTGTCGAGTAACTCGTATCTTAAGTTTCAGTTTAAGTTTCAGGAGACTGTTTTCCAAGACATGACTTCGGCCGCCATAATTTATCACGCGCGGACTGCGTTTCGTGGATCAGATTGCACCAATCAAAAGTCTTACATTGGCTCATAAAAGAAATTCTAGCCTTGCAATTGTTCTCTTTGTGTCGATTGGCGGCACGCTCCATTGTTTACACCGAGAAAAAAAAAAAGACACCAATCACCGACGAGAACTTGCGATCCGCATATTAATTGATCCTATTGAATTTGGCAACATAAATAGAAACTGTGATATCCCGAATTACCAAACTCTATTTCGAAAAGGCAGAGATATCTTTCTTTACCATGGCACCTAAACCGATTGCAGCTAAAAAGGGAGAGAAGAAGAGCGGCGGTAAGGCAAAATCCACGTCGGGCGACAGTACGAAAAAACGGCGATCGAAACGGAAGGAGAGTTATGCGATCTACATCTACAAAGTGTTGAAGCAGGTACATCCTGACACCGGAATCTCCAGCAAAGCAATGGGTATCATGAACTCTTTCGTGAACGATATCTTTGAGCGCATTGCTACAGAATCCTCCCGTCTAGCCCACTACAACAAGAAGTCCACTATCAGCTCCCGCGAGATTCAGACAGCCATCAGACTGCTCCTTCCAGGAGAACTCGCAAAGCACGCAGTCAGTGAGGGTACCAAGGCCGTCACGAAGTACACTAGTAGCAAGTGAAGTCCATTCTTCAATACCAGATCTAAACAACGGCTCTTTTAGGAGCCACCAAATGTCAAAAAAAGCAATGATCAACACAGTTTCTTAGAGTTTTCAATCGTCATTATAAACCCTGAAACTCTTCGCACACTTGCTCCCATTAAAAAATGTCAAGGAACGAACAAATCATTCCTCTATTTACCCGTTCAACTTTACTTTTTACATAAAAAACACACAGATAAAGGTTTTAAAAGATGATTTTTATGTAAGCAAAAAAAAAAAAAAAAAAAAAAAGAAACAAATAAACGATTGCTGGTTGACAACACGCACCGAACCCAACAGTTTCCGCACGATCTCCTTCCCAGCGCGATGACCACTACACCACGCCAGAGAATCAACTGAAGTAGTTCGTAAAACAACGTTACTTAAAAGTGTTACAGGCATGAACAGGTCATTTCGGTACTGCACTTGAGAACAAGAAAACGGTTTACCAGGCTGCAAATATATATTTTCCGGGATGTAAGGGTTTTAATACTTCAAATCAGTTAAGCGGGAGGGATTCTTACTATTGAATATTGACGTTTACGGTAGTTTTCATTACCCGGGTACCTGATAACCAGTTTCTTGACCAAGGTGCATGTACTGACCACTTCGAATAAAAAGTATTTATCTTATCTGATCTGATCTGATCTGATCTTATGGAGTGGCTTTTGTTTACTCTTTTAAGGCGTCTCTAAGCCGCGGTTCAAGTAACCTTCTGCTTAACAAAAACGAAATCAGTTTCGGCAAAGGAGAAATAAATACTGTGCTATAGGTGAAGGTGACCTAAGGTCAACATACTAGAGGTGATATTGGTGATGACTTTTCTTTATTTGGTGGCTCCTAAAGGAGCCGGTAGTTGAATAAGTGGGCGAGTTTTACTTGCCACTGACTTTCTTGTTGGCTGATTTTTTTAACCGAGGCTTTGCTTTCTTTCGCTTTCTTAGGCAACGGCTTCTTTGTGGCAGTCTTCTTTGGCACGAGAGGTGTCTTCTTCTTGCTACTGGAAACTTTCTTACCCGGCGATTTCTTGGTTTTCTCGGCTGGTTTGTGGGCGGTCTTTTCCTTCCCGGCGACCTTCTTTATTTTTGGTTTGTTGGCTGGATCGGCGGTTTTGGTCTTCTTCGCCGGGTCTTTGGCTGCCTTTGCTTTCTTTACTTCTTTGTTGACCTTGAAAGAACCTGAAGCTCCGGACCCTTTGGTGTTGATAAATTGACCACTCTCCACGGCTCTCTTAAGAGCCATTTTAATAAGAGATATGTCCAGAAATGCACGCATTGGCGAAAATGGCAGAAATGGCAATTAATCGCCAAAATCGCCAAACTATAAACAAAAATTCAAATGAGATGGCAAAGGGGCCCTTTGCAAAGTGGCGATTTTGGCGAAAATGGCGTATTTGGCGAAAATGGCAGAAATGGCAATTAATCGCCAAAATCGCCCAACTATAAAGAAAAATTCAAATGAGATGGCAAAGGGGCTCTTTGCAAAGTGGCGATTTTGGCGAAAATGGCAGAAATGGCAATTAATCGCCAAAATCGCCAAACTGTAAACAGAAATTCAAATGAGTTGGCAAAGGGACCCTTTGGAAAGTGGCGATTTCGGCAAAAATGGCGTATTTGGCGAAAATGGCAGAAATGGCGCTTAATCGTCAAAATCGCCAAACTGTAAACAAAAATTCAAATGAGATGGCAAAGGGACCCTTTGGAAAGTGGCGATTTCGGCAAAAATGGCGTATTTGGCGAAAATGGCAGAAATGGCGCTTAATCGTCAAAATCGCCAAACTGTACACAAAAATTCAAATGAGATGGCAAAGGGACCGTTTGGAAAGTGGCGATTTCGGCGAAAATGGCGCATTTGGCGAAAATGGCAGAAATGGCGCCTAATCGCCAAAATCGCCAAACTATAAACAAAAATTCAAATGAGATGGCAAAGGGGCCCTTTGGAAAGTGGCGATTTCGGCGAAAATGGCAGAAATAGCGCCTTATCGCCAAAATCGCCAAACTGTAACAAAAATTCAAATGAGATGGCAAAGGCGCCCTTTGCAAAGTGGCGATTTCGGCGAAAATGGCGTATTTGGCGAAAATGGCAGAAATGGCGCTTAATCGCCAAAATCGCCAAACTGTAACAAAAATTCAAATGAGATGGCAAAGGGGCCCTTTGCAAAGTGGCGATTTCGGCGAAAATGGCAGAAATGGCGCTTAATTCGCCAAAATCGCCAAACTGTAAACAAAAATTCAAATGAGATGGCAAAGGGGCCCTTTGGAAAGTGGCGATATTGGTGAAAATGGCGTATTTGGCGAAAATGGCGGAAATGGCGATTAATCGCCGAAATCACCAAATTATAAGTAAAAATGCAAATGAGATGGCAAAGGGGCCCTTTGGAAAGTGACGATTTTGGCGAAAATGGCGTGCAATAATTCTGTATCTTTTCATCAACCACAAATAAAAAAAAAATATAGAGTGCATGTTGGCCTCGTTCTTAAAACGTGTTTTGGCAGAAATGGCAATTACTGGATGAAATACCTAATTTGTCAAGACAAATTAAAATGACATAGCAAAGGGTCCCTTTTGAAATGGCTATTAATTGCCAAATAGTTAACCACATATTAATATAAAAATGTTTCCAATAGTATAATTGTATACTAATAATGACAACGCTACTGTAACTTAAGTGTCATTAATCTGTTTTATTGATAATCTCTTGTGATTTGAAATTCGTCCCAGACAAGAGTGTTTGGTCGGGAATTACCACTTATAACTAATTTCTTGCTCAATTCAAATCGAATGGCCAACGAGTTGTATTCGATTATCAGTAAATGGTAATCTTCGTAATGTTCATGGCAACTTTCTTACCAAAAAATCCAAGATAGGTATCCTTAATTTTCCAGGCTTGTAGGCATTGTTTGAATAGCGACCGTTCAACATTAGTTGTTATGAGGAATCCAGGTTGATTCTTGGCTACGCATTCAGATAATTAGATGGTCCGTATTGCCTTGTATATCCATCCTGTTTGTTATAATGGCGTTCAATCGTACAAGTATATATAAACGAGCTGGTTCATTGCAGTTTCACAGAACATGAACGTGTAAGGTTTACTAGTTGTTATATAGACGCGGCGGCCATGTTGAAATAGTCGATTTTGGATAACTACTCTATGTAAGTAGAAACGATTAGTGTCATTCCCAGCCGACTTTGGTGGTCACTCTATGTAAGCAAAACGATTAATGTCGTTCACAGGGACTCTCAGGCAATTGTTAAAATAGAAGGTAAAAAGGCCGGGTGACGTGTTTCGACGAGCATTAGCATTAGCAATTGAATGGAACACATACTGTACTGAGAATTGGTTCGGTGGTCTCAGCGCAAAAAAACAATACATTTTCTAAATTTCTGGCCCCACCTCATAAAGCAATAATGGGACACATTTTTTAAGAACGAAACAAACATGTACACTCTCTTTTCATATATCTAGTTGAATGAAAAGATACAGAATTAGTTTGAATGGGATATGTTTTATGAAAGAGACAAACAAGTTATTACTTTGATCCAATGTTTATGTCCAATAAATGCGGTGAAGTATGGGGCACAAGTGACATTTCGTGCATGTTTACATAAATTGGAAATAAGCGAATTCACACATTTCAAAATGGCGCATGCAAGCTGCTGGACATTTCGGCTTTCGCTACTTTTAGGGGACCGTTTCTCTAAAGAGCGAAACAAGTAAGTGCGAGAAGAAAGTGAAGAGTTTAAAACGACGGAAGAAGATAATGTGTATAGTGGAGAACCAAAAAAGAATGAAGGGCACACACTGGTTATCGTGAAAGCATCTTTTAGCCAGGAACCATGCGTTTCGCAATCGCTTTTGATTTATGGCTGCCTCACAATTTAATGGAACCAATGCGAAGAGAATTGTAACCAGTGAGCATTGTTAAGGTCTACATCGAACCTCAAAAGTTAGAGTGTCCATGGCAAGGAATTATTATGATTTCAAGGACTTGGTAGTTCTCTCCTCGAGTAATTAGTGGACTTGTAAGTCTTTGAAAGGAATGAACCATACAAAAGCAAATGATGCTAGTGTGATATTTCAGCGTATCACGTCACTTTTGGTAAGTCAAGCGACATCGAAAGTAAGGAAATGTTTACTTAACCTGTGAAGTACATGGCACAAATACATATTAGCTTAAGTGAAACGACTTCCATTTGTTGTTTTCAGATATATTTGGTTCAGTTGTATTTGATAAAATAATGTTGTTTGACCGTTAGGTAAAGCTGTTTTGTCATATATTTGATTCAGTTGTATTTGATAAATGTTGCCTCACAGTTATTGGGGCCTCTTATTAGGAGAGTAATTTGAACTTTTTTTTAGCACTGTTGCCTCACAGTTATAAGGACCTCTTTAGTTATCTACTTTGAGGGGGCCACTTTTGGCATCCAATTAGAATATTTTGCCACATATCGCCAGTCCTCTGGCGATTTTTGCCAAAATCGCCATTTTCGCCAAAATCGCCAGCCTCCAAGGAGCCACTTTTGGCATCCAATTCAAATCGCCAGAGGCTGGTGATTTTTTGCCATTTTTGCCATTGCATGCATGGCAATTTTTGCCAAAATCGCCAATTTCGCCAAAATCGCCAGCCTCCAAGGGGCCACTTTTGGCATCCAATTCAAATCGCCAGAGGCTGGTGATTTTTTGCCATTTTTGCCATTGCATTGCATTTTTGCCAAAATCGGCCAAAATCATTTTCAAGGGGCCAAAATCGCCAGCAATTCAAATCGCCAGAGGCTGGTGATTTTTGCCATTTTGCCATTTGGCATTTTCCAAAAATTCAAATCGCCAGCGGCTGGCGATTTTTCGCCAGTTTCGCCATTTTCGCCGTTGCATGCATTTCTCGAACATAAGTGTTTAATAACATGACTTGCTTTGTCTCCCACTTTGAAATGGTTCTTAACGTACTTGTCGACAGCCTGACGCGAAGAACCATTACGATCTTTCAGGGCGTGAAGGGCTTGTATGATCATTTCTGCATACTTAGGGTGTTCGGCCGGCTGTTTAGAAGTTTTCTTCTGGGTGCTTTTGACAGACATGTCTCGTTATAGTCTCCACAGCGATAGTTAATGTTGGTTACTTGTGCAACTCTTTTCTTAAGTTGTTATAGCGGACCGCAGAGGGATCAGTTACTACTGATCGCGATAGATCTGTTACCTCTAAGATGTTTGCTAAGTTCTTTGAAAATGAGATGGATTGTAAACGTCAACTTAGGAAGACACGTAGAGAGATTAACTGAACGAATAAGGAGTTGTTGGGCGCAATCACTAATTTTTTGGTAAGCTTAGAGATACTAGTACTCTACTGTGTCCTTATCGCGAAACACTTGTAACGGCGTGGAGTATGAGAATTATTTCTGTCTCATTTCACTAGTAACTAATAAAGAAATAAGTAGAGACAAGGTAAGAAGCAGTTTATTGGCCATTAACCTTTATTGTCAGGTGGTGGCTCCTAAAGGAGCCGTTTGTAATGTGAGATTGTCAGAACCGAGCTGAGCTGTTATGCACGTTCGCCCCGGATCCTGCGAGCCAACTGGATATCTTTAGGCATGATGGTGACACGTTTAGCGTGAATGGCGCAAAGGTTGGTGTCCTCGAAAAGACCGACCAGGTAGGCTTCGCTAGCCTCTTGAAGAGCCAGCACGGCTGAGCTTTGAAAGCGCAAGTCGGTCTTGAAATCCTGAGCGATTTCTCGAACAAGACGCTGAAACGGTAACTTGCGAATCAGCAACTCGGTGGACTTCTGATAACGACGGATCTCTCTGAGGGCCACTGTTCCTGGCCTGTAACGGTGCGGTTTTTTCACGCCACCAGTAGCAGGAGCGCTCTTTCGAGCTGCCTTAGTAGCCAGCTGTTTACGAGGCGCTTTTCCTCCGGTGGACTTTCTCGCTGTTTGCTTGGTTCGGGCCATGACTGTGAAACTGATGTTCAGAAGATTAAAGGCTCTATGTGAAAGCTTGGCAATTTTTATGGCCGCGATTTATCAGGAGGCTGTCGCAAGCCGATTGGATATTTAAGAATTTATGCATTTCTGATTGGTTCGGCTTCGGAGACACCCTGCTTTGATATGCATGCCTTACAATAAACACTGGGGCGAAAGAAAATTATAATATTCTTTTGTTGTCCTTTTACTAAGAACAAATCTATGTAAATACAAGAAATAATGTTTCCCGAGAGGTCAGATTGAAGGGTATAGATTGAAAAGTGAGTTCTGTTCTGCAGTAATTTAACATAGTGCGAGACCTTTCCCTTTTCAAACCTTGACGATAATTCAGACAACCGAGAATGTCCGGTCGCGGCAAAGGAGGTAAAGGCTTGGGCAAAGGTGGTGCTAAGCGTCATCGTAAGATTCTACGCCATAATATCCAAGGAATTACCAAGACAGCGATCCGTCGTCTCGCTCGCCGTGGGGGTGTAAAGCGAATTTCTGGACTGATCTACGAGGAGACACGCGGTGTTCTGAAAGTTTTCCTTGAGAACGTTATCCGCGATGCCGTGACCTACACCGAGCACGCCAAGCGTAAGACCGTTACAGCCATGGACGTAGTATACGCTCTGAAACGACAAGGACGTACTCTGTACGGTTTTGGGGGTTAGAATACACTGTGATCCCTGATCAACACTTAAACCAACGGCTCTTTTAGGAGCCAACAAATTTATGAAAAGCTCTGACCAATACGTGATAAGAGAATTTGTTTTCATTACGATCATTGCTGAAGGTTTATACACATATCAACAAGTCAACATACACCTGAAATTGATTCAGCGCTTTATTTACTGGGTGCGTATACGCGAGTTTTTCCTTTTTTAGTGACTTTACAGCAGCGCAGTCGTTACTTATACAGGGAAATTATTTTTTCCCTTCTAGATTAGCCTCATAGCTCTTTGCGGGGCATACAATACTGTAAAGCTTTTGTCTTTAGTTAGTGAATAAACTGTTGTTGTGCGTTTTTGTTGTCATAGAATTAAGAAAGAAAGCTGGTTTGTGTCGTTACCGACGACGGTTTATAACTGTGTTAGTTTATTTTACGTAAACAGCTTGTGTACTGAAGGAAATAACGACGATCTCTTGTAATTTTTACGCAAAGAAAACAATATTTCAAGGTGAGTAGTGGCAGCAATGTTTGTTCCCGGTTGGTAGGAATGCGATTAATTGTGTACTCGTTTAAAAAGAGCAGAAAGTTGTTCGATTGTCGCTTGGTATGTACCTCGAAGTTCGTATAAAAACCTGTTGGAAACAGCGCGAATGAAACCTGCATAGAAAGCAAACGCAATTTCAACTTTCACGCTATAATCACATCAGTCTTTAAATTCATGTTACACCGAGCTAAACTGACCTAAGACTGGTTTCAGTTTTCAAGCAATGCTGTGGTTGCTGTTGTTTGTTTCTTACATGCGATAGCCGAAATAGCGCTAAATATGCTTTGGTATACGCATTTATGAACAAAACTAGCAACATGGAACCATGCAAAAACAAATAGAAATAGCGAGTTTCCGCGAGACGCAATTATTTGTGGCTAAGTATCGATCGAGTTATTAACCCCAAACTTAGACGGCGAATACTATTTGGGGGGTAGATTACAAATTTATATCGTGATTGGTCATGACTTTATTCTAGACTTGGTGGCTCCTAAAAGAGCCGTTTGTATTTATGGTTGTTGCCGTCGCTTAGTGTTGTTTCTTCTCTGTCTTTTTAGGTAGTAATACTGCCTGAATGTTGGGAAGAACACCGCCTTGAGCGATGGTGACACCGGCAAGGAGTTTGTTTAATTCTTCGTCATTTCGCACAGCCAACTGGAGGTGACGAGGAATGATTCTTGACTTCTTGTTGTCGCGTGCTGCGTTTCCTGCTAACTCGATGATCTCAGCACTCAGATAGTCAAGTGCGGCAGCCAAGTACACGGGAGCACCGGCTCCGACGCGTTCAGCGTAGTTGCCTTTACGAAGAAGGCGATGGATGCGACCAACAGGAAACTGTAGACCTGCCCTGGAAGAACGAGTCTTTGACTTGGTGCCTGGGCCTTACCTTTTCCTCGTCCGGTCATCTTGTCGAGTAACTCGTATCTTAAGTTTCAGTTTAAGTTTCAGGAGACTGTTTTCCAAGACATGACTTCGGCCGCCATAATTTATCACGCGCGGACTGCGTTTCGTGGATCAGATTGCACCAATCAAAAGTCTAACATTGGCTCATAAAAAGAAATTTTAGCCTTGCAATTGTTCTCTTTGTGTCGATTGGCGGCACGCTCCATTGTTTACGCCGAGAAAAAAAAACACCAATCACCGACGAGAACTTGTGATCCGCATATAAATTGATCCTATTGAATTTGGCAACATAAATCTAGTTAGATTTATGAAAACCGTACCATCGGATTCCAGGAGCCCACACACCTTAAACTGACTCAACTAAAGTAAATATCGCCAAGAACCTCAGCTCTTACCCATGGTTCTCTTAAGGTAACTCTCTTCTTGGTTCCTGATTAGCAAAAGAAACATTCAAGTCCATCAAAAAGACACTCTGGACTTGTCCATACACTCTAGCTGCTTAAAGGCCCAAAATTCTGAATTCAAGATGTTGGCCGATTTCAAGATTTTAGCTTTTCAAAATCCTGAATACAAGATATTGGCCGATTTTAAGATTTTAGCTTTCAGAAACCCAGAGTTCAACATTTTGGCCGATTTCAAGATTTTAGCTTTCCAAAATCCAGAATTCATGATTTTGGCCGATTTCAAGATTTTAGCTTTCCAAAATCCTGAATTCCAGATTTTGATAATTTCAAGATTTTAGCGTTCCAAAATCCTGAATTCAAGATTTAGGCCGATTTCAAGATTTTAGCGTTCGGAAATCCTGAATTGAAGATTCTGGCTGATTTCAAGATTTTAGGTTTTCAAAATTCTGAATTTAAGATTTTTGCTGACTGCAACATTTTAGCTTTAGAAAATCCTGAGTTCAAGATTTCGGCTGGTTTGAAAATTTTAGCCTTTGAAAGTTCTGAAATCAAGATTTAAGCTTTCCAAAATCCTGAATTCCAGATTTTTTGCTGTTTTTCAAGATTTTTGCTTTCCAAAATCCAAAATTCCAGATTTTAGCTGATTTTAAGATTTTACCTTTTTAAAATCCTGAACTCAAGATTTTGGCTGATTTTAAGTTTTTAGCTTTTCAAAATGCTAAATTCAAGATTTTGGCTGATTTCAAGACTTTATCTTTCCAAATTCTAGACTTCCAGATAGATTTACCTTTTTAAAATCCTAAACTCAAAATTTTGGCTGATTTCAAGATTTTGCCTTTTCAAATTATGAAGTTATTATTCTCGCTGATTTCAAGATTTTAGCTGTCCAAAATCCTGAAGTCAGGATTTTGACTGATTTCAGTATTTTAGCTTTCCAAGTTATGAATTTAAGATTTTTGTTGATTTCAAGATTTCAGCTTTTAAATATTTTGAATTGCAGATTTTGTCTGGTTTCAAGATTTTGGCTTTCCGAAATACTGAATTCAAAAGTTTGGCTGATTTCAAGATTTTAGGTTTCCAATAGCCTGAATTCAAAATTATGGCTGATTTCAAGATTTTAGATTTCCAAAATCCTGAAGTCAGGATTTTGACTGATTTCAGTATTTTAGCTTTCCAAGTTATGAATTTAAGATTTTTGTTGATTTCAAGATTTCAGCTTTTAAATATTTTGAATTGCAGATTTTGTCTGGTTTCAAGATTTTGGCTTTCCGAAATACTGAATTCAAAAGTTTGGCTGATTTCAAGATTTTAGGTTTCCAATAGCCTGAATTCAAAATTATGGCTGATTTCAAGATTTTAGATTTCCAAAATCCTGAAATCAACATTTTAGCTTGTTTCAAGGTTTTAGCTTACGAAAATACTGACTTCCAGAATTTGGCTGATTTTAAGATTTTAGCTTTCCAAAAGCCTGAATTCAAAATTAAGGCTAATTTAAAGATTTTAGCTTTGCGAAATCCTGAGTTCAAGATTTTGGCTGATTTTAAGATTTTTCCTTTCCAAAATCCGGAATTTCAGATTTTGGCTGCTTTCAAGATTTTACGTTTCCAAAGTCTTGATTTCCTGATTTTGTCTGGTTTCCAAAATTTAACTTTCCATAATCCTGAATTTAAGATGTTGGCTGATTTCAAATTTTTAGCTTTCCAACATCCTGAATTCAAGATTTTGCCTGTTTTTAAGATTTTATCTTTCCAAAATACTCAGATCAAGATTTTATCTAATTTCAAGATTTTAGATTTGCAAAATCCTGAATTCAAGATTTTGGCTGATTTCAAGTTTTCAGCTTTCCAAAATCCTAAATTCAAGATTTTGGCTGACTACAAGATGTTAGCTTTGCAAAATACTCAAATCAAGATTTTGGCTGATTTTAAGATTTTAGCTTTCCAAAATCCTGAATTCAAGATTTTGGCTGACTACAAGATTTTAGCTTTCCAAAATCCTAAATTGAACATTTTACCTAATTTTAAAATTTTAGCTTTCCAAAATCCTAAATTCAAGGCTGGTTCTGGTTTCAAGATTTTAGGTTTCCATAATAGTTAATTCAAGATTTTGACTGATTTCAAGACTTGAGCTTTCCAAAATGCTGAATTTAAGATTATGGCTTATTTCAAGATTTTAGCTTTAAAAAATCCTGAAATTAACATTATGGCTTGTTTCAAGATTTTAGCTTTGCAAAATCCTGAATTCCAGATTTTGGCTGATTTCAAGATTTTAGCTTTCCAAAAACCTGAATGCAAGATTTTTTCTGATGTCAAGATTTTAGCTTTCCAAATTATTACTTAAGAGTTTGTCTGATTTCAAGATCTTAGTTTTCCAAAACCTTGAAAGCTACATTTTGTCTGGTTTTCAGATTTTAGCTTTTCAAAATCCTGAATTCAAGATTTCAGCTCATTTTAAGATTTTTCCTTTGCAAGATCTTAAATTCAAGTTTTTTGGCTGATTTCAAGATTTGAAGTTTCCAAAATGTTGAATTTAAGATTTTGGCTGATTTCAAGATTTTAGCTTTCCCAAATTCTGAAGTCACGATTCTGGCTGATGTCAAGATTTGAACTTTCCAAAATGCTGAATTTAAGATTTTGGCTGATTTCAATATTTTAGAATTCCAAAATCCTGAATTCAAGATATTGGCTGACTTCAAGATTTTAGATTTCCAAAATACTGAATTCCAGATTTTTTCTGATTTTAAGATTTTAGCTTTGCAAAATCCTAAATTCAAGATTTTTGCTGATTTGAAGATTTTAGCTTTCCAAAATCGTGAATTCAGGGTTTTGGCTGACTCCAAGATATTAGCTTTCCAAAATCCTGAATTCCAAATTTTGGCTGATTTTAAGATTTTAG